TAGATCAAATGCGATATGGACACTATTTTGAAGTGGAGAAGGGGTTGCAGGCCGTGGTATTGTGATATCTGTTCATTATATCTTCCTTTTTATTCTTGTTTGTATTTTTCTCTTCTCTTTTTATTTTCGTTTTTCCTTTCTTTTTCTTTCCCCTTCTTTCTATTTCCCTCCCTCTCCCCCTTTTCTTTTCTCTTCTTACCCAGCCCGGTACGATTGCTTGGTCAGCCCGGTAAAAACCGTCAGGGTCAGGTGTGGGGGGGGGGGGGAGGGAACAGTCTGTTCCCCCTGCCCCGCCTGTTACGCCACTGCTTATAAGATGAATGGGAATATGAATCATGCAGATCTGGAATCAAATCTAGGTGGTGGGGTCAACATTCCTCCCCCTGGAAAATTTCGATTTCTAGGTTCCCGACTTCTGAGGTGTCTTTTAATTACTCTTACGTTCTTCAAAATTCAAGGTTTTCCCATCTTGAAAACGGTCAGGTAATTTTTTCCCATTGTTATTACAGTAAATAGGGATTATGTGTGTCTACATACATAACAATTTAAAAAAAAAATGAGTAGTTGCATACGAATTTTCCATGAATCGATGAATCCCAAAAAGAATGGGGGGGGGGTCAGGGGGTTCTTCCCCAGGAAAATTTTGATTCCTAGAAGGCGGGAAATGAGCTTTCCCGACTTCTGAGGTGTCTTTTAAATTAAAGTCATTAAAAAATACTTCAGAAGTCGGGAAATCTCATTGTCCACCATTTAGAAATCAACATTTTCTTCCCGGGAAGAACTCGAACCTCCCTTTCTCTGGGTTCATTGATTCATTATAATAATTTTCAAGAGGGGAACACTTTGAATTTTAAAAAAACTTAAAAGTAATTAAGTTCTTCAAAATTCAAGGTTTTCCACTCTTGAAAATGGTCAGATAATTTTTTCCCATTGTTATTACAGTAAATATGCCTTATGTGTGTATACATACATAACAAAATATTGAGTAAAGTTGCATACGTAGCTTTTCCATGAGTCGATAAATCCCAAAAAGAAAGGGGGAGGGGGAGGTCCTGTGGTTCTTCCCCGGGAAAATTTTGATTCCTATGTGGCGGGAAATGAGCTTTCCCGACTTCTGTGGTGTCTTTTAATGACTTCTAAATTCTTAAAAATTCAAGCTCCCCCCCCCCCACCTTGAAAATGATTCTCATTTTTTATTTTATGTGTGTATACATAAATAAACAAATGAGTAGTTGCATGCGTATTCTTTTTTCCATGAATCGATAAATCCCAAAAAAAAGGGTGGTCCGGGGGTTCTCCCCAGGAAAATTTTGATTCCTAGATGGCGAGAATTGAGCTTTCCAGACATTTGAAGTGTGTTTTAATGAAATTTATGTTCTTCAAAATTCTAATTTTCTAATAGCAAAAAAAAAAAAAAAAAAAAAAAAAAAAAAAATCAGCTCACGGGTCCTGAAAAGGTAGGGCATTCTTTTCTTTTTCCCCCTTTTTTTTTTGTTGCCCAAGGGTGGGGTCAGGACCCATGACCCCCTCCCCCAGATCCGCCAATGTGAATTGCGAGAAAATGTAACTCGGTCGGGTACTGGATAAACATTCTCTTTGCCATTCTTCTCCTCCTTCTTCCATCCTTCTTTTTTTTGCATTTCCGATCATACAAAAATCTGCAGACATTATATATTTTTCGCCAAAAAGTGGGGTGGGGGGGGGCCGGCCCCCCCGGCCATGTCAAATATAAAGAAAAGCACCACCACCACCATTCTTTCACATAAATTATCCTATCTAGCAATCATTCATTTGTTTTAAGATGAAAAAAGGCAATACAAAAATCAGGCAAGACTACAATAGCTAGGTGCCAGCAGCTTAAAAAGCAAAATAATATAACAATAAAAATAAAAAATAAAATAACTTCTAAAACTCCGGAGAGTCAGCTGCCGGCAGCTGTCGGCTTCTCTTCCTAGATTATGCTTCTCAAGACATTATAAATCCTGCAATGGAAGCATGGCAAAATGTCCACGAAATTGTTCAAGCGGAACTCTCAGCAAAAATAGATATAAAGATGTGGGGTAGGAAAAAAGTCCTTAGAAGGTCCATGAAACCATTCATGCGTTAACTCAGACATATAAAGATGTGGGCTGAATCACTCGTGCGGAACTCTGCTATGCTAAGTTGTAGGCTCATTGTGTGTACTGTAGCGTGTATCTAAATACAACGGTGGGGGAAAACTAGAAATTGTAACAACAGTATGTTCTATTAACTTAAAATTTGTACACGGTAAAATGGGTTAAACTGAGCCGATTTTCACCATTCAAAAGTCGATATGAGGTGCTAGTTAACGTTTATTAAGATATTTGGAAAGAAAATAATGAAATTATGTCTCTAAATAGAAGTTCATATGCATCAGCTGAATTTGTACAATTGTTTAACAGTGTGATTAATCTGCTCAATAAACAATTTTAATTACTTGTGCAAATATAAAAATGTGGGTAACCCACATCTTTATACGGTATACGACTTTTCATGGATCTCGACCTATTGATTTTATTTGGTATGGTGATTGGCAAGATCTTTCCATATCGTCATGGGAAATAGGTCTAATTGTTGTTTGATGTTATGATAGACAGCTGAGCTACATTATAAGGTAACACCCATCCTTTCTCGATTATAAATGTGTGTTTACCCCCCTCTTCTACCCCTATATTGAAAAACCAAAATGCAAAGTAAAAAATAATAAACACGAACACCAACTCAACGTCAAAGACTCGACTCGAACTATAGTTGCATTGGTAATAGCGAGAGTGAGAGGTCTGCGGCGGTCATTGTATTTTAGGCTTGCATAATATTTAAGTTGGAGGCAAACATCTTTCACGCATTTCACGGTAATTTTGTGTTTATCATAGCTGTATAGGAGCTCGTTGAAACTCAAACGCAAATTGCGTTAATATAAAAGGTTAATTACCCCATTTGTTAATATTCAAAATATGTAGAACATGAATTAAAATTTTAATAGGCCTATGCACATCCTTGATATTCTATGGTCTTTGCTTAGACAAAGTTTAAAGAAGATGCAAGCACGCATAGTGACCAAAATTCCGGTCAGAAAACAAAGCAAAACGGCGGGATAGAGGAAGAAGAAAAAAATCAGAACAAAAAATGTCTCTTTCTGCTGCTAACAGGAAAATCCAATAAGCTAATAAGCACTAAGTACACTTAATGCATATCCGGGCCATAAGTTTTCATTTCCCCGAGCAAACAATGTAGTGAAACCAAGTGTCTAAAACACTTCTGAAACTACCGTGTTAATAAGGCCTGTGATAAAGTAATTTTGCTTTTATAACACAAGAAAATTCTGAAATCGATTAAATAAGCCTCTTCTGAAACATTATAAATTGCCATATTTTTCGGGGCTCTACCACGCCCACTTTACTCTCGTCGGGGACCTCCCCCACCCCCAGGTCGGGAAATCCCCCACCCACAATTCCAAAAACTCTGTACAAGAAACTTTGACCATCATTTCTAAAAAGTGATTTATCGCTTATAATCACTTTGGTCAGGTTTGGAAGATTACTGTAACGGTTTAGCCTTAGATGCAAATAATCATTCTTTGAACTGCGAGTTGGCTTTCGAACAGTGTTGAGAACAGATTTACCTTAAAAAAAAGGAACTGTTTTCACAGACGTTATACAGTCGTTAACAAACGAAGATGGTTCAATTCCAATTGCTCTATCGTTCAGGGCACAGGCGGATCCAAGAGGGAAGCTTGCCCGCCCCTCCCCCTAATTTTTTCGAAATTTCAGAAAAAAGAAAACTATATTCAAATTTATATCTAAGAACGCAATTTCCGGCCATCTAGATGTGCCATAATCAAAATTTTTCTTACCTCAGCCCCAACAATCTACCCGCCATCTGTGAAAATTCCTCTCTGGGCCCCCTCTATTTCAAATTCCTGGATCCGCCCGCCCCGGGGGGGGGGGGGGGGGGGGGGGGGCAGGCAGGCAGGGAGGCACATAGGCCTAAGTGTTTGACAAGATTACATTAAAGGAACCCCTGACATATTAACAGTGGCGTAAAAAAGTATTTTTCATTGGGGGTGGGGGGTGATTAGCGTGTTAGCCAGTGTCGTAACAGGCGCGGAGGACGGGGGCTGCCCCTTCCCTTACGGTTTTTACCGTCGTACCGGGCTGGGTAATAAGAGAAAAGTAAGAGGGGAGAGGGATAGGCCTAATCAATAAATTTCCCATCAACCGATATAACCTTAAACATTCTTGGAATTGACATAATATTACTAATGTCGTACACACCCTTCAGTGTGAAACGTGGCTCTCTTTGCAAGCACATCTAACATCTAAGGAAAGAAGAGCTTAGATTGGTACCAGATAAAATAATTTTGTTATCAACATTAATACATTATGCTAATTTTCATCTTTGTAAGCGCATAAGACAGTGCAAATTATTTCTGTGACAGTCTTTTGAAGTGTGTAAAGCTCCATTTTATCCCATACATAGTCAAAATATTGAGGGGGGGGGGGGAAATGATACGATGGACCATTCTCCCTTGTCAAATATTGGGGGATATATCCCCATCCCCCGGGATCTACGCCTATGCATATTGATAATCCCTCTCTTTATTGATACAATGTTTCGATCAGAGAAAAGTGAAATTCCCAGTTACGATAGTAAATTCTAAATTTTTAAGTGATTTTATCGATTGCAGGCTTAAATTATAAGTTGCATGTATTTATTATAAACATTTATATGTTTGACTAATTTGAACCTATACAGTACCGGCAGTTTTTATTTGGGAAGACATCACAGTTAATTAATTATGTCCTCATTCCTGATGATGACATAATTAATGTCGAAATATTGAATCCCGACACGATTGCGTGCATTTCGATTATGTATTTCACAGTCTTCATGAATTGGGCTACTTTTGAACAATTGCTGCGGTTTGTAAGCGCCGTCACTCTATCTTGCTAATCTTTTTTTAATTTTTAATCTTATTCTTATCTTATCTCTTGCGTGGTAAGATTGCTGGCGGTATCTGTGAAAGGTATTAACGATTCTTTGAGAGATAACTCACTAAAAAAAGTACTGTATTTTGTACTTGTTATTCTGTAAAATAGTGTATTGATATATTAAACTATTATAATTAGGCAAGGCCAAATTTTATAATCATAAAGTTGCAAACCTACATGGGTAGGCTAGGCCTAGGCCTGTCGCTCAGGCTAATGTCTAGCTAAAAAGGAAAGGTCCTAGCTAGGAGAAGCAGGCTAACTTGACTAGCGTAGGCCTTAGGCCTAGGCCCTCCGATATTTATATAGTAAATATTTATTAGCTTGACTTTGCTTAATCAATGATTTTCAGTTTGCAATTTTAGCCATATCCAACTTGGTTATCCAGATATTATCGTAGTATTTATTGCCTATATACGTATAGGCCTAGTGTACTGTGATGCAAAGCCAGGTAGGTAAGGTAGGCTTACCTTTATCAAATGGGATATTTTGCTTAGGCTCTAGCGATAATACTCCAAAAGCAATGCAGTAGCATATGAATCCAAAGCAGTAGTACTCCAATATGCAGTACAGTAATACTCCTGCCAATATTGACCCGGACTTGGGTACATGTTAACAATCCAATAGCGTTAGCTAAGTAAAATGCTCCTTGCGTGAAGTCCAGTGTACAAGTGGCGACAATTCCCCAAGGTCTCGGCGATCCCTTCTCTGCACACCTGATTTTTACATCGTATACCACCTTATACCATAAAATTTCCTATCACAGTGCGAGCGACCCTCAGATTAATTAAAATACAAACCGGGAACGGAACGATAGGTGAGTAAGCCCGAATTCAAGGAGGCCCTGGGCTGATAAAACAAGTGTGGTGATTGGGCCCTTAGTCTATATATATCTATTACAATTAACATTATTCAGGAACATTGTATGTACAGACATTCCAACCCCTGAATGTCCAAAAGCAGGACACATCGATCCGGAAAGCGGGACTTTTTGTTCAAAAGTGGGAAAACGTACTATTGGACAAGTTTAGGTCTCTCCCCAAATTAACGACCACTTTTAGGAATGGGAATTTTTTGGCCTTTATCAGAAGTTTGGATAATTGAAAAAATTAATAATCAAAATAAAAATGAAGGCAGAAATGCAGCAATTAAAACGTTCACAAAAATAATATATTAATTTTTTTTCTTCATCACTTTATTCAGATTCAACATAGAGAGCATACAGTATCAAAAATGAAAAAAAAAAAAAAACATCGCACAATATTAAAGGAACAGAGAAGCCCAGACTAGTCCATGTAAAAGGACATGCAAGGGAGACAAAGAGAGACATTCGCAAAGAATAGGGTTACAAGACAGATGGAAGATGTTTAAAAATGTATGATTGACAGTACAGTACTCGAAAATAAAACTGAAAAATACAGAATTCAAAAGTTTCTTAAAAAATTGGATTTAGGAAAATAAAGCGGAAAATTTATTTTAAATTATTAATATATATATTTACATATTTGTATACAATATCGACCAAGTATAATAACAGTAAAAATAAGCACATCGCATCTCGCAATCCGTCATGAGGACACGTGGAGTTTACCGCTGATATTAGTACCTGAGCTCACCTCGTTGTCTGTAGGGCCATACTGTAGGTTTCAGAGTATCCTCCAGGAATTTAATCTTGGTACTATCGTGATTATTTTTTATTTATAAAAGTTGAAAAGCGGGACAATTTGGGAGTAGGGCGAGACAGCAGGGCACGACTCCCAAAAGCAGGACAATCCTGCCGGAAGCGGAACAGTTGGAATCTATGTATGTACCAAGACAAATAAAACCAATAGGCCCTAGTTGATTAGCTTGTCATGTGTATCTTCTTAAGTTAAAGCATTTATTGTGTGCAGAGTATTAATCCATTTAAATACATTAAGATTTTATTTCCTTCTCAGTTTTGAAGCAAGAACGCTATTTACTTTTCTAAGAAATAAGATTTACAATGACTGAGTGTGAAACAAAGAGTGCCCTCAGTCCTCAAGGTACACCGTATGACAAGCTGTCACATTTTGTTAATGTTGATGGACAGCATCTATTCACTAGGAATTGGGAACCATCAGAGGAAATCGAAACCAGGTTTGTCTACAGATTTAAAAAAAAATACTTGTACATAGTTTTTATTTTATTCATTTTTAAATCAAAGTTAAGTTTATGGCAGGGGCAGATATTCACTCCCCCCTCCCCTTCACAAAGAAGGGAGAAAAAAATAGATAAGAAAAAAAAAATAGGAAGGAGGAGGGATGGTATACCAAAGCAAGCTAATTTTTTTATTTAAATTTGTCTGTTGTCAAGCACTTCTAATTAAATATAGTATCAAACAATGCAAGGAATCATGGAATCAAGGAAAATTTAATGTCAACAATAAAACGAGATACAGTCAAAATTTTTGTCGTAGTGCTAATGGGGTTCTCAGTTAACATTCTAATTACATACTGTACAGTATCAAATACAAGGGGGGCCCCCACCCCACTGGCTTGGTGCTTCTTCGCAAAGCGCATGGCCTGTGCCCTGATTTTTCTCTGGAACCTCCCCTATTTCATTACGTGATTCATTGATGCAAGGAATCATGGAATCAAGGATAAGGAGAATACAACGATATACAGTCAAAATTTTTGTCAAAGTGCTAATGGGGTTTTCAGTTAACATTTCTATTGATAAAAGGTATTAAAACTGACACTCACAAGACTGAGTGGCTGTGTTATTGTCAATCATTTGACTTGCAGATATCATGGATTGACTATTTTTGCTGTAAACTATGCACCAGATGTTGTACAGTATTTGTTAGTTGATATTTAATTGGAATGTTTTTAAATTCATATAAACAACCTACTAATTTCTGTTTAGCAGTGCTTTCATAGACACAGGTACTGTTGATGAAATTTAAATTGAAAATTAGCTTATTTTGGAGTACCGTGCTCTCCTCTTTCTTTTCTTTGCTCTTTTTTTCATTGGTGGGTGATATCCCCCTTTTTCCCCTCTAGATTTTCCCCTGGGTAATACTTCTGTTAATTGATGATACACATATTCTCTTTTACTCTGAATTTCAAGCTTATATAAACTTTAATATCCAAAGGAAGCTCTTCAAATATTGAACTTCCTTCAAGTACAGTATAACTATTAAACACAATCTGTCAATATTTATATAAAAGATAAGATAACGTTTATTGTCGCAATCCAACAATTTAGTGCATCATTCCACGATAATTCTAAATATCTGTTGGCTGGTCAACTTCTTGGTTGTACTTGAAACTCTTGCATATCTATATTTCTAATAAAAAATTCTTTTAAATAAGATCATATTAATGATTTGTTTAAATAAAACAATTATTAAAAATTATTTTTTATTTAATAATAAATAATAACCATTTCGATTCAAAATATATGGTACTAACCAAAAGTAAACACACACAAAACACTGCATATTCCTATTTGCTTTCAAGTTAACCGGTTGAAATGTTGTGTATAGCCCCTTTTTTCTCGCTCTCATATAAAACATTGTTGTTAACTTGCATTTTGATGTAGTGTTTTCATACAGTATCTTGAAATGTATAGAGAAAGTTTACAAAGGATCTGATATTTTAATGAAATACAGTCCCATAGTTTCTGTTTTCCATTGTTTATTTTTATTTTCTTCCCCCACATTTCAGATGTTCATCCAAATAGGTTATTTTGTTATTATTTACTGAGTATTTTAATGGTTATTATTATTATTATTATTATTATTATTATTATTATGTTGTTAAATTTCATTTATGATTGAACCAAAATGACATAAGCATTTATTATTTACTATTTTAATGGTTATTATTATTATTATTGTTGTTGTTGTTTTTTAAGTTCATTTATGATTGAACCAAAATGACATAAGCATTTACAGTATTTATTATTTTATTGTTATTATCTTTTTTAGTATTATCATTATTTTGTTATTAATGTTATTTTATTAATATCTTTAATGTTGTTATTTATTATTTTTATTATTATCACTGTACTATTATTGTTATTATCACTGTATTATTTTTATGTTATTATTTGTTTAGGGCTGTTGCTTTAATATGTCATGGATTAGGTGAGCACTGTGGACGTTATGACACGCTAGCAGAGGTTCTGGTTGCTAAAGGCATCTGGGTGTATACCCATGATCATGGTAAGGTTTCTCAAAATTGTGTACACTTTGTAGTTTAAATTTAAATAAAATCCTAAACCAGGGGGGTGTGGGCATAAAAATGGGTCGGATGGCCAAAGTTAATTTTTGATTGAACGCTGAAGGCAGCGCCCAAACTTTGATATTTCCATTGCATAATACCTACAATGCATTGCTTTTATACCACTTATTCTCAGTTATAATATTATTTTTGACAGATGATCGGTGTCGGGCCGTAACAAAACAAAAAGGTGTTTTCTTACCAAAGATGGCTGGCAGGTCGCACACATAGGGTTTATTAATTCTCTATTGCGGGCTCCAAAAAATCACTGTCGTGCAGCATAAAGGCCTACCCTCTTGCATCCCAACTTTGGAACCATCTCCATTTAAACAGCTTTCCATCTACAGATGACATCAAGTTTTTTTTTTTAAACAAGCTGTTGTTAATAAGCACCTAATTCAGTTCTTTGTTTCCATATTTTTTTTCTGTGTACATTCTCCTTTTTTCTATAGGTTTCATATGTAATAATAATGGACACGATTCATTTTTTTTATGGCAACATTAGGTTGTTTTATAAAAAAATATATTTGAATACTAACTTCCTATTTTGACTATAATTTGTATTCAACAAAAGGAGCAAAATGTCTGGTGGAAGGTCACAGATCTGCATTAGTTTTTACAGCCTGTATCTTCTTAGTGAAAATTTATTTTTTTAAAACATGCGTTTTCTTGTAATTTAAATGTTTAGTTGGTCATGGACAGAGTGAAGGCATTAGGCTGGATGTCACAGACTTTGGAATTTTTATAAGAGATGTTCTACAGCATACAGACATAATCAAGGAGAAACATCCTGGACTTCCAATCTTCCTGATTGGTCATTCAATGGTACTGTAAGCTGTGCATCCTATAATGTACTAATCATCATAATATATCTTAGGGCAGTGGTTCCTAACCTGTTGGCATTCTTGGACATCCTTGGACATATTAAAAGTCTTCACAGACACCCATGCCTAAGTATTACTCATTGATATTCCAACAGTAAGATTATAGATAGAAGATGATTCGCCACAAAAATACAATTTCAAACTGTAGTGGATTTTGGAATTTGAAATAGAGGGACCACAGAAAATAAGTTTTACAGAAATTGGGTCAATACCACTGCCATGGTTAGGCCTGAGATACATATTTTTTTATAAATGGCTGAAGTGACATTGTTTGACTCAAAATCTGAATTTAGTACTCTTTTATCCCCCATTTATTTTAAATTTTTTGTAGAATTTAGAGCCCCCTTTTGATGCAAAGGTATTTTATTATTGGAGGCACCTAGTGCTTTTATTGGGTTCAATTTTAATAAATACCTTATGCTGGAATAAGTTGTTGCAATTGGATGCATAGTGTTGTGCTTTTTTTATAGGATGAGAGCAGCATAGCTAAGTCGGCTAAACTGGTGATAGCCACTGTGTGTGTGCTGTACCCTGAAGATCTCTTTGTGCCCAGTTCAATTCCCATCCCTGCTGTCCTTGTATTTCAGCTGGAGGGCTGAAATGCAAGTGAAGATACTGTCTTTTAGATGAGACATTTGAGCTGCTGGTCCTCTGTGTGCATTGTGGCCCATGTGCATGTTGAAGAATGTTGCGCACTTCAAAAAAGAGTAAAGGATTGTGCCCACTAGAAATAAGTCTTCTTCAGACTTTGTGGATTATCAGTGGTTCTTACTCTTACACCGAATAAATCCATCCATCCATCCATGCCCACAATTCAATTTAGAATTTTAATTTTTGAAAAAAAGAAATAAAAAAAAAACCAAACAGAATCAATCTTTTTTTTTTTACATTTTTACATCCCTTATTAGAAGCAGACAATTTGAAGCTACCTATTTGTAGTACTCTATCAGCAAAAACTGAGTTTTAATCTGTGTCTCCTTGAAAATTTGTGACTTGTACAATCTTTCAACAGTTTCCTGATTTTATTACATACAGACGGAAAAATGGATTTGTAAATTGCAGAATAAAATAACATTTTATTGAAAGAAAAATTATATTAAGTTAATTTGAGGATTTACAGTATTTTTGATTGAATTCTGTTTGTCATTCATATGTTGTTTTTTTTTTTTTAAACAGGGTGGTACAATAGCAATATTAACAATGATTGAAAGAAAAGCTGATTTTGCTGGATGTGTCTTGATTGGAGCTGCCATAGTAATAAACCCAGATGAGGCCACACCATTTAAGGTCTCCATTTTATTTTTTTTAAATTCTGTTTATTTTCTTTTGATATGTTTAATTGAAGAATTTAGGTGTTTTACATGTTTGCTGGGACTGAGTTTTTTTTTTATATATGTTCATAAATTTGAATAAGAGTATACAAGTACTCACATTGAAGGATCAAAATTAACTTTGGAAAGAATGTTTCTTATCTTTTCATATTCAATAATGCATACAGGAAACACTTAAAGGCTGATATAAATAGCCATAATTTTGTAAATTATGGAATCTGTGACAGTGTAAAGAATTGCCTATAATAATAATATTAATACAATTAATAATTTAATAAAAACCTTTAATTTACCATGCTTCTTGCTTAATTCTGGATGCTTGTTAGTTCGTATTGTTTTTTTTTTTCTTTATTCAGTTTTAATTATGAACATTTAATGTATTTTGACGTGCTTTTTGTATGTTTCTTCCCCTTGGTGGGGGTATATTTTAAAGAAATTAATATTGAAATTGAAATGAAATTAAACTTTCATTTCTTATATGCATTGCCCTTGTATTTATTTCTTTAATGAAATGAGGACAAATTGGAGGGATGGGGAAATAATTAATTATTTCCAATGAATTATCTTATATGTGTATTGTATTGTTTAGTAAATTATTGTAAAACTTACCTACTTCAACACTCATTTTGTTTTGAAGGTGTTTCTAGCGAGGGTTTCAGCTTATCTTTTCCCACAGTTTGGCATTGCGGCACTGGACCCCAAGTTGTTGAGTCGTGATCCGAAACAAGTGAGTAACTTTATAATTTAGCCATTAATTTTCAAGAAAGTTTAATTATTGTATTAGACTTGGTAATTTATTTTAAATTTTAAAAATAATATTTAATGTATTTGATAAGTATATGTTTCATGTTTTTTTTTGTGTGTGTGTGTTGTCAATACAGGAATTTCTGAGTCTAGTTGACACCCTGTGCACTTGTTTGACTTCGCGGAAACACTGCTTTAGATGTTTGGCACAGTTATGAGCTGAGAGCCATGTTGAAAAAGTTTTAAATGTTATCCGACCTTTCTGACCTGAGACGCCCAAGCTAACTATATATAAACTATATATATTAATATTTGAATATTCATAGGTTGAAGACTATGCTTCAGATCCTCTGGTCTACCATGGAAAAATCAAGGCACGTATTGCTTCCCAATTGGTAAAAGGAATGGACAATATTGCCAGTTTCATGGGTGGAATTGAATGGCCTGTTTTAATCTTACATGGTGAAATGGACCGATTGACTTCTAACGCTGGTTCCAAGTTGCTGCACGAGAAAATCAAGTCGAAAGACAAGACTCTAAAGGTGTTTAGATTATTTAATGATGGCTAATGTAATGTTCAATTGTTGTATGTTTTGGCTTGTTAATTTTGATACTCATTAAAGTGATTTTATTTTAAGTTCCCTTGACTGGAGAAACTCAATGTAAGGTGGAATGAACAATTAATTCTTTTAACTTTTAAATGCCACTCCATACAATTAATTTTAATCACAATATCCATACAAAATGCACATGTAGCCAAACTCATATTTTTTAATTGCACCATCTTGGAGTATCTGCCAAGGTAAAAGAACTTTTTTATATCATGCATCAAAAAGTTGAAATGAACTTCCAAACAAACAAATATTAACTTTAAAGAAATTACATTATTTTCCTTCCAAAATTCTATTAAACTCTAAGTTTTACATTGAATTTTCTTTTGACTTTATATAATAGCAAACCGAACATAAAATCCAAACTCAGAAACAACAACTGTTGCACCACTCTCATCATTTCCACCAAATTTTATTTTGACAGGTTTCATTAACTTTTAATATTTCATCATTTGAGGCAACTTAAAATTATATAACAATTTCTACAAACTTAATAAATTTGATTAAATTCATGAATGTTGATTTATAAATAAAAGTATGTCTTTGTTTCTTTTATTGTTCAATGCAATATATGTTGACTCTTTTTCTAGATTTACCCTGGATATTATCATGTACTTCATCGTGAAATTCCAAGTGACGCTGCAATTGTCAAGGAAGATATTGCCAGTTGGATTGAAGAGAGAATAGACAAGAAACCTGCAGAAGCGAATGATACAGATACAGTAGTGGAAGAAAAGAAGGAAACAAACAAGGAAAATGATCAGGAAACAACAAAGGAAGAACCAACAAAAGATTCCCAAGTAGCGGAGTCAGCTAAAGCAGATAATGATGTTGGAGTTGAGGTTAAACATGAAGAATAGATCTGTTCTATGAAAGAATATACCGTAAAACCTTCAATTGAAGCCCGATGGGCTTAATCTCGAGAAGAAGCCCATTTTGAACTGAAGCCCTTTTTAGTTTTAGCCTCGGAAAGAAGCCCATGGGCTCTTTTCAAGAACGCATTGGCTTCTATCCAAAATAGTACTGTACATACATTGTACATGAATTTCAAAAAACAAAATAAATTAAAAACAAGCTTGTTTATACAGTAGTTTAGATGATTTAATGCCAGTTAATGCACTCCATGATAAAGATTGATGTTACAATGACCTTAATTATTGTTGTATAATACAAATTCCCAAAATGTACAGCATATATTTTTAAAAGAAGCCCCCCTCTTTACTTTGCAAATGTAGCCTCGAAAAAAAACCTATCCAAAGTTCACAAAAAAAAGAAAGAAAGAAAGAAGCCTAGGGCTTCAATTTGAGGTTTCACGGTCCGGTTCACATTAACACTCATCACAGATGCAAGCACATACGGTTTGACACTAATTTTATTCTAATATTATCTCATTCTCCGTGTTAAAAAGGTAAGTTTTTTTTTTTCCTGTGTGCATGCTAGCCGTTGCCGCTCAAGAAGTGCGGTTGCTGTATATGCTTAATTTTAAGAAGTTCACATTGAAAATCGACTGGTGATTGGTGTGTGCATAGAAGCTTGCATTTGTGTAACATATTTAAATTATTCAAGTGTGAACTGAGCTTTAAGCTGACCAAATATACCACCATTAAATGTAAATGTTTGTAAGTATTCCTGACAAAATTAAATTAAATCCAAGTTGAGAGACTTATTCCCATTTCGCACTTACTGAAAATGTTTCAACTTAAAACTTGATATCCTGAGATATTTGATTTGTTTCACACATGTAATCTAAATCCTTTAAAATCTAGGAAGATTGCCACTTTTTTAATTGAGGGTGCTTTTTGTTTTACAATTTGTTTACCTGCCTCTTGGGTGTGCCCGTCTCCTTGGTTTTGCAGCTACTAAGTACTACTAAGTACTACCTAGTCCAGCTTGATGGCAATGGTGTTGTGCATTGTCTCTCTTGCACTCATCATATTCGAGGAAACCTGTTTTGTAAACATCACAAAAACTTTCCAACGTCATATTTGTTTCTATATACAGTACAATTTTTGTATTAGTAGACCTAGCCAAGAGTAGGCCTAGTGTGCCTGAAATATATTTGTTCAATGCCATACCGTCCTACCAGGTACCCATTTATACTTCTGGGCGGAAAGACATGCAAACGTAAAGTAAAGCAATGCAACGAGCGTCGGTCTCGAACTCAAACTTAAATGTTAAAAAAGCATAGTTTATATATATTATTATAATCACTTCTTTTCACTTACCTTGAAGTTATAGGCCAACAGTGCATATGTTTATATCTTTAGAATATTTGTAATACAGTTGAACTTGCCTAAGTCAAATTCAAAATGGCATTGAAAAATTGGACTCGGATAAAATTTGACTTACACAGATGGTTAATTAAGTAAAAACACAACAATTTGGTCTGTAAAATAAGATCGACTTAGAAATTATTTGAGTTAGGCAAGTTCGACTTAGGCAAGTTCGACTTAGGCAAGTTTAACTGTACTGTAAACTATTGTTTTTTTTTAGTCTGGAAATTCTTGAAGAGTGTTTTGTAAATGTTAACTTAAGAAGAGATTACAATGAAACTTGCCGAGGATTTGAATTACAGAATAATATTTAAGCTACTGTACCGCATTATGTTGAATAATTTATAGTTTTCTTTTATATCTTTATTTATTTGCCTTCAGGAATATAATTTTGTTAATAAAAGGCAATATTTATGTGATATTGTGAGGGTTTTTTTTTTATTGTCTTAATATTTTTGATATGTTATTTATTAATTTTGAATGTGAACTTTAATGCATGAGTCCAAATATTGCAGCCAGTCATATTACACATTAGAGTATTATATCTTTTTCAATTCGCTAAATTGTTGCAATGATGCGTATTGATGACTTAAGTAACAAGACTGCAATAGTGGTGCCCGCCACGGGGGTCCAGGATGGGAGACAGTCTACCCCTTGTCGTGGAAGAAGCCAATTGTTTTGTTCAGCAATACTGCTTTAAAAAATGTTTTTACAGTTTTAAGAGAGTGCCATTTTTTACCATTTAAAGGGGCATTCTCAACTTTTTACCCTAGCAAAATGGGAATATGGATAATTTCGACCTGAGTCGGGGACGTTCTCGTCGGAGACATTGGAACCCTCATCAAGGAAATATGGTGCCGCCACTGAAAATGAATCTTCACCCTGGACATGGCAAACTATGTTCAGGAAAGCCTTTAGGTTACTTAAATGTTACTTTACAGTGTTCTTAAAACATTGGCTTTACAAGACAGCAAATTGAAGAAAAAAGAAAAACAGTCATCGAAATAGCAGAACATAATTAAATAAAACCATAAGTTTAATGTTCAATATTGTTGATATGATGACCATTTAGAAATTCTCTGTAGAAGCTGTCACAAGTTACCGATAGGAACACTGGCACCCAAGCATCGAACGTGTTTCAATGGTTGCTCGGCAACAAAATTTCCAGTGGTGTAGGGATGGACAGTGCAAAGCACTGGGGCCCAGGGCTATTAGGGGCCCATTCATAAATAAACCGAAAAATAATGATAAAATATATTTTCCAATTTAATATTTTCTTAAGTAAAACGGACACGGCCAAACTATCTTCAGGAAAGCCTTTAAGTTCCTTAAATGTTACAATCACTTCAATGTGTTCTTTAAACATCACAAGACAGCAAATTGAAGCCTCCAAGTGTCGAACAAGTTTCAAAGCAATAGGGCCCAGGGCTATTAGGGGCCCATTCGTAAATAGGCCTACAAAAATTATTATCAAATATATTTTCAAATTTAGTATGTTTTGAAGTAAAACGGCCAGCGGCCGGCCCCTCAATAATATTTAGGTTTTTCGAGGAGTCATTATTGATTACTGTACTCAATTGTTTAATTGTACGTGCCACCAATTTACTTGATTATTTTAGAATTAGCTGTTGAGACCTAATAAGCCTCTTTTGTATAGTGACGATGGTTCCGGTAATCATTCGTATGTAGGCCTATTACTAACGTATGCCATTAGGCGTAGGGGGTAGAAAGAAGACCTTACAGTGAATTTTCTGAAAACTTAAATCCGTATACCTTCCATAAAGCATTTGATACTATGTGGCACGACAAATGGTTAACTACAGCAAGGCTGGTAAGAAGTGTAAAGTGTGGATGACCTTAAATAACTTGTATAAAGATGCTAAAAGTATGGGTAAGTTGACATTAGATACTACTGATTTCTTTGAGTGACAAGGAGTTAAACAAGGCTGTGTTTTTTCACCGATCCTTTTTTTTTTCTATATAGGCCTACAACAATGAGCTAGCAAATATGCTTCGTTCACAGCAATGTTTATCCTTTGCAGACGATGTTATGTCGAACTAGGAAGGCAGTCTCTTGAGATAATTTAAAATTACCAACGTCTAAAGATTGTCAAAAGTCTTACTTGGTAAAGATAATACATATGCATGCCACGAACATAGAGAAGTAATAAACTACTTGACACCGGCGTAGCTAGGGGAGAATGGGCCCCGTTGGCAATTTGAATGCCTCCAGAGACTGCCATTCTATTTCGACATAACATCGTCTGCAAAGAATAAACAACTCATTTGTGTTTTAACTTTTATTTATACAGTATACTCCACATTGCTACTCGATAATTATTTCCTGTAAGGCATACCGAGAGCATTTAAAAAAAGAAGTGAAATTTAGCAATGATGAACCTAACCCTACAACTGTATTAAATTATTTTAAATTATAAGGAAATTTCCGAATGTTTTAAAGATATCTTAATGAATGTATCGTAATTTTGTATAGTATTAACTATGTTTATTTTATTGTCTTGTACACTATATTGATATTTTAGGGTCTACTATTTTTAATTTGTATTTTATCGTATTATATTTGTATTTTATTGTCGTGTGCACCTTTACGGTCTCTACTGAATTTTACTGTATTTCAATGTATTTATTATCGTATTTAGTGTATATGTTTCTAAATGCACCACAATTATCCCGAATGAAAGTGTTTAATCAGAGAGTGTTATTAGTACCTGGTCCTGGAAATTTCATTCTTTTAATTCAAAATACGACTCCTGAAAATTGAAAACGTCGAAGCTTTCGGGGATTGCCTATACCTCCGGGAAAATTAGACGGCTCCCAACAACCCCACTCACCCACTAGCATTAACTCATACCTACGCCCCCTCCTCCCCCTCCGGTTAAAGCTTCACATAGAAGGCCCTGCAATTAATACCGCACTGGGGCCCGTTCGTTCTCCTCTAACTACGCAGCTGAAAAGTTCTATAGTAGGCCTATGTATGGTATTTACCGTAATTGTATTTTAAATGTCAAATGACTTAGGCCTAATACTTTGCATCAAGACTCAAATATATTAAGTGATCAGTTCCATATCTGAAAGCAAAAGATCGTTGACATTTCATTTATATCAGGTCCTAAATAATTTTTGAAGCGATAACTGCTGATTATGTAAATAATGTTGATTTTCGGATCGGGCGAAATAATTGTTGAAGTTTGATGTATCAAATATGTTTGAAAACTAATCATACTCTTGTATTCACCATCAACTAAAGAAAGCTTTAGCTAAATTTAAGGGTCTGATGGATGGTGCCCTAAGTCTACACTACTTACAAGTATAATTCATGTAATACTGAATTCTTAACTAATTATAACAATTATTCCAATTTCCAAATACACACAGAATTATACATTACTTGAGGGTGTGACTGTTCTAAAACATTCTTGACTGCGGATTATGTAATGATGTTGCTTTTCGGATCGGCCGAAGAGGAGGAATATTGATTTCGAATTGCAAGTAATATTTGAAGATATACTTTGCTCTCTTTCTCATTCGAAAACCTCAATCTTAACTAATTCTTGACTAATGTGGTCTTGATGGATTCCTGAAATCGATCCCTTTAAAAACACAGCCGAACGATAATTTCATGTTTGAATGCATGTCTATTTCGTGAATACTTCAGTGGATGAACCGAAGTTAGTTTTTTTTATTTAACTTACTAATAATGTGATCGACCAGCAACTTCCGAGGTGGTGACGGGCCACAGTTCAAGATAATTTCCGGGACCTAAAATAAACCTGATCGGACCCAGAGACAGAGCCTTCGTGAGGTCTACTTAGGCGAAACTCTGCTCATACATTCTGATATTGTTTTTAACCGATACGACATTGCAACTAGTATAATGTATAAAATATTCGAAGACATACTCAAGAATATTGAGAACAAAATATAGTCAAAAGTCTAGGGCCTATTGGGAATTTCATGAGATAAAATACAATAAACAATACGATAATTTCATGTTTTAATGCATGTTTATTTCGTGATGAGCCGAAGTTGTTTTCTGATTTATCTTGTTCTACTAATACTGTGATCGACCAGCGGCTTAGCGAGGGTGATGGGCCCAAGTGCAAGATAATTGTCAGGACCTAAAATGAACCTGATCGGACCCAGAGACAGAGCCTTTGTGGAGTCTACTCAAGAGAAACTCTTAATGCTCATACATTCTGCTATTGTTTTAAACATATAAAATATTCGAAAACATACTCAAGAATATTGAGAACAAAATATAGTCAAAAAGTCATTTTATCGTTTAGGGCCTATTGGGAATTTCATGAGTCTCGGATAAAGTACAATAAACAATAGAACAATCAGTGATCTGATTGCAGTAAAAGTAAAACGTAGGCCTATTCATAAAGTATGACTTGACGTGATTAAAAAACGTGCACGATATAATTAGATCAACTTTAAAATATCAAACAATAACATTTAATATGCTTGCCGATATTTTAGTTGCTTCAGAAATATGCTTTCAAAATGTATAATGCATCATACCGTGGTACGGAGCATACGTAAATATGGAAGAATGAATGGAAGAAAATAACCTTGATTGTATCCAACAGATACGAAGCTGTTCATGGCATGTTTTTTTCGTAGAAAGTCATTCTACGTAATAGGTAAATCGTAATGAATATAATCTATAATTATGGCCTCTAAAACATAATGTTACCAAGGGGAAATTTAAGTTATATTGTTAGATCTATAGGCCTATGCCCATTGAACGGGCCCCGAAAAGCCCCTGGCCTCAGTGCTTTGCTATGGCTGCACTGTCCAAACCTGCGCCACTGCAATCGACAATCCCTTCTGTGCATCGATACTCTTGGATTCCGCCATTCATGCATCAATATTTCCCTAAGTTCTGGTCTAAATATCGCCTTTCTCTAAATTCTTATCATCTTTGATAATTCTGGATGATATAAACTAAAATCAATGTAATTCATGTAATTACAATTCATATCTTGTATTACCCTATTTATAATTTAAATAATGAAAGTATGCCTAACTTTACTCATTGTAGTAATTTTGAAGTAATGTTCACCTTGCTCAATCTACAAATGCTGAAGACCAAAATGTTGAATATTGATTTCAGTCTATGTACAGTAGAGCTGCAGGGTCAGATCCAGAATTTTTTTTAACAGGGGAAGGGGCACAACATTTTTAGAATAGATAAGAGCGCATATTTCAATATACATAACACTGATATGCACTGAAATTTAAAAATTTAGTGGCAAACGGGGGTGGGGGAGCATGTGCCCTCCTGCCCCTACTGGATCTACGTTTGAGCTGTGCTGAGAGAGTAATTACAACGAAGGCGTAGTTTTTTATAAATTAAAATTTAAAATTTCCTAGTGATCTTGTAGCGGCCGAACAGACAGCAGATTTTAAGACCCAGGATTTGGAGCAACTTTTTTCACTCTCATAGATTCTTCTTTTACAATTTATGTAACATTAATAAAGCATGACCCTGGTTTGGATTAATTGCCTTTAATTGTCTGTAGGCCTAACATTTGTCTATCTACATGTAGGCCTACCCTAGGCTATCTTATTCACTCTGCACAATGTCTCTCTGATGCACACGGCGGTATATCGGCTGTACTGTACTGTAAAGAAAGACTTGAAAGAAACAGACTCAAACTTATATGCCTGGCCCGGGATTTATCAATCTCAGCTTAGCAAATGTCTTAAGTCAAAAAAGTTAGGATGTCCCTAATAAATATCTTAGGCTGATTTATTACCCAATCTTAGCAAAATCTTGGCTTAAAAATCGTCTTAGATGGTGCCAACGTACAATCGACTTTCTAATTTTAAGCAATTTTTAAGCTATATAAGCAATGTGGATAAATTTGACTTAAGCAAAAAATGGACTTAAGACGAATTTAAGCTGATTTCTATAGAGTTTGATAAATCTGGCCCCTGTACCTTATTTCAGGTGCATAATTACGTGATAGACCTACTATTTAAAAGGAACAAAACACACGTAAATTTGAAGATGTACTGTAATTGAAATAAATTAATTGAAACCCCCAAACGTACAAAGCGATATGGTACAGTACAACGCATGCGTGCGTGACAACGTATTTTCCACGTGATGGCATTAATGTTAAATGTCTGCCGTCTATGATTAACATCGTCTGCCTAGTGGATTTTACAGTTGAGTACTCTCGAGAAATTAGACTGCATAGTATTTTATGAATATTTATTTAGAAATAAATAATGCAATTTATAATTAATTAATTAATTATATAACCTTCACGATTCTCTTAACGAAGTAGTTTCCTGTATTTCTACAATGTAATAATAATAATAAATAATTGATAAGCCTATATATTAATATAAACAAATACCCACAACCTCAGCTACGACTATATAAGCATACTGTTTGTTCATTGGCACGGTCGGAGAAAAACAGTTATAGGCCTACGCCTAAATGTAAGTTACATTACAGGTCCACTGAAATTCCAAAAAATGACCGTTTAAATAAAATAATTATTAACTGTAGACTATATAAGCTATATGTGTCATAATAATATTGCTGTATGTTACTTTAAAATTGCTATATATTACTTGAAGGCCTACTCTTCACACATACGACTATCACTTTAATATGTCATGTCTTATTATATTCAGATCATAATAGTATACAAATTTCTTGAATTGTTACGCTTGTTAATTTTATTGGACGCTATAACAGCTGAGAGTTCACTCTGGCCAATCACGTTGAATCCTGTCGTGAAATTCCTCGTCTGTCATAGGTTCGCCAATCTTGCAATAATACGCGGCAAATTCTTGTAAGGATATCTGAAAAGACGAATAGAATTCATATTAGTGTGGATTTCTATGCCTCAGGAAAAAAATTACTAACTGTTGAATATCTTCATTGTCCTGTGTCTTCAGTTTACATCATTAGATGGCTATGAAAATCGTTAAATTACTTTTGCGTAATGTTCAAACCATGATTGTTTTTTCCTTTAACATAGGCCTATTGCTCTCAGAGAGTATCAGGCGTAGGTACATAATCACGACCATCGGGAAAATTATAATAGGACCTACACGAGATTCAAGTGGAAAAGTTACGAGATTTCAATCTAAACTTGAATACATTGCTTAAACGATTTGTATTAGTATTTAAACTCACTTTTCCGTCTTCTTCTCCTTGCTTGTCGAACTCTTTTAAAAATTGTTCTATTTCATCTTTGTTCATCATACTCCGGAGATCCTCTTCCGTACAATATTCACTACCGTCTTTATCTAGGCGACCGAAAATCTCCCTTACTTTTTTTCGTCTGTTTGCTGACATTAAAGGTAACTAGAAATTAAATGAACAATTTATATTTATAAACAGGTTTCTTGTTTATTCTCAACAATCACATTAACTATTCTAGTTGGGACACTGTAATTGATAGCAGTATTGTGCACACTAATAATGAAAACAACTATGTCGTTAATTACGATTACGTATAATAATGATAATGAAGAAGATGGTGAAGATTTTGATGATGATGATGATGATGATGAGGTTGTTGTTGATGATAAAGATGATGATGGTGATGATGATAGTAATGATGATGAAGATGATAATGTTGATGGCGGTGGTAATGATTATGGAGATGAGAATAATGATGATGATGATGATGATTATGATGATGATGATGATTACGATGATGACGATGGAGAAGATGAGGAGGAACGGATGCTGATGCTAATGCTAATGGCGGTGATACAGTACTGATGATGTTGGTGGTGATGATGATGATGATGAGGATGATGATGATGATGATGATGATGATGAATAAATGATGATCATGAGGGTTAAGACGGTTATTATGGCGATAATGATAGGCCTACTGTTGTTGATATGTTATATTTATGGAGAACACCGATATCAGTGATTAGACTAATATAACGTTAACGATGATGGCAGACAGTAAACATTCTGATATTAGTGACGATTCATTATATTTATACATTATAACCCATCCTTTGGGACACTCCTACTAAGGATATATGTCTTGGTATGATGATAGTAGTTATCTGTATACCAATCAGGGGACACCTCTATGGAGGCACTGTTTTGGTTCCAACGCGTCCCCTTAATAGGAGTTCGGCTACTATATCGTAGTTAAAGGACTTGTGCACGATAGCATTACTTGACCTTTCATGAACTTTGAGCAAGGTCACATGAAGATATTATACTTTCCCAAGTGAATTCAATCTCATCATTTTTCTACATTTCGAACACGTCATTCCAAGTTAAAATTTTCTTGCTTGCAAGTTGACTGACACAGAGCGTAACTGTATAGCTCTTCATAAATCATCGAATGCTATGACAAATTACTTCTACCTATCTCAAGAGCAATTGAAATGTCATTTCCGATTCGTTGAGCTCTGTCGAAAATAACTTTTCAGCTCTAAATCATATAGAATATGAAAGATTTTAAATCGCATCATTATTATATTTTCTCAGAATATCTAAAGTAAACACTAGTAGGCCTACTATAATTGATTTAGGATTCTCAGTACGTCATAAAAAGAGTGCTGTATTAGCTGAAGGGTCTAACACATGTTCTAGTGTTAGCTGCAGTGGGACTTAATATTGTATTCCAAGAATGTCATGAATACATCGGGACGTAGGCTCTGTTTCATTTGGTACTGTATAATTTGTTCACGATCCGATTGCAAAACGAAGTTCTATAGCTGGGCTACCGTCGTCAGTGGATGTTTTGGAGCAAAGGTTTTTCTACTAGGCCTACATTTTAAAATTTTGGGTTGGGGCAGGGAGTTCTCGTCCCTGGTTCGGGTATGAACAGACCTTTGCATTTAAACACCGAGTGATTACTGGTTTTGAGTCTACCAATGGCTACAGGTCGTCAAACACACAAATACTTATTTAAAGGATTCATTAATTGTGGTATCTCAGTTTACACTGTTAATCACGTCATGGAGATGATTGCTAAACAAGGCCCGTTGTATGCCGATATCACTTATGTACAAGGTAGCATTATGGAAATAAGGAAGCACTCTCTAATTTCACGATGATAAACAGCAGGAAATATGAGCTGCATTAAATTGGACTGTAGTACATACCGTACTGATTCCTTTTATCATAATTTCCTGCCGTATGCAAGCACATTAGGATCTTTCGTATTAATGTCTTATTCTCATGGCCCTGTGATACGTGAACAAGGACTATTAAACCTACTGCAAAACAAATCTTCCAACTATAGTCTTCGGAAATCAAGATACTATACTAGACTTAAAAAATTGCTCCAAACTTATCATCAGTACGTTTTTAATATCAGCTGTACCCATGCAAACAGCATTATTTTATATACAAATATTTATAATAATAATAATCAATGTTACAAAATACCTTAAACTAACTAACGTACAGTAAACATAAACATATTTAACACTACGTAAATATTAACAGGCCTACTACCTGTAATATGCATGTGATAGTTAAAGACGTACTTATAATTATATGGACATATTGAAATACATTTTGATACACATTTCATACAATTTGATAAGGCTGTAGTATGATTCATAACTTTTAGTTCGTTAATTAATGACAAATTATATTGATAGAATTATCAAATTGCTCATTTAAGAAAATTTAATAGCTTACAATGAGACGCAGGTCGAAATAATTCAGGATTTGCAGATTTTTACTAAAAACATGTAACCGATATATAATGCTGTGCAAAACTAAATAGGAATGTGTTTTGTTAATTAACGAGGAAATACTTTCTAGTTATAAAATGGACCTTTGAGTGTCAATCAAACTGAAGAACCGACCAATCAGATAAGTGCCAGGAATACGCGCGTTTCCAACAAGCGCACGTGTTGTCCCACAAACGCATGTGTTCGCGTATGTTTTATAACCATAGAGATATAATAAGAATACTAGAGCGCTAACCGCAATGTATTCGATGTTCGAAATACGCAGAGCTGTGTGTGTGTGTGGCTGCCATATATTCAGCCAATCAAATTTCGCCTGAGCACTATCATTTTCAATGGCGCCCTCAATTTACACAGAAAGTTCAGTACAGCTATGTTTGAAACTCGAGCGTTGCGGTGTTTGGGTGTAATGCACACGGTTTTAATTTTCATTCCTTGGTACTTTTTTTTAAATAAGATGCTCCACTTGGTCTCGTTTTGGCTACGACAGTTTAATAATTTGTCATTATCAATACTAATTATCATTAATAATATTCAGTCAGAGGGCTTATTTATGGTAATAATATGCATACTAAGCCTGAAGATGGCGCTTTGCTACGGCGGCCATCTTGGATGGTACACATACACAACTCTGCATTGTTCCGCCATCTTGTCAGCTCTCTAGTTGTTTAATAGCTCTATGTTTATAACTCACTGTCGTTTTGTGGGACCTTAGCAACAATATCCAAGGGGCGGGGCGTAGGTATATTGGAATGAAAGTTATCTCCAGAGTCAGCCTTCGGAGAAAGGTTTGTATGTGACAAACAACCAGGACAGACTCCAGAGGAAAACTGTTGATATATTGTATAACTGATTTTTAGAAGACACAAACAAAGTTTTTGACGAAAAATTGGGAAATGGTTAATGGTAGACAGCTTTTTGAAAATTAAAAAACTGGTGGACAAGGGACGTTAACATCCATTTTGCACCGTTTCTCCCATTTTTTGTTTTAGAAAAAAAAAACTAGTTGTACAACATATCAGCATTTTTCCTCAGGAGCCTGGATTTAATGGATTCAAAGACACAATAGGCCTATGCAATTAGAAGACACTAAAATAGTTTGAGATACAGTTTTTTGAATAGGCCTATATAAAAACTGATGGAAACGAGACTAACCACACATTTTCCACCGTTTCCCCTTTTTTGTGTCTTAGAAAAAAAATCAGTACAACATATTAACATTTTTTCCCTATCCTAGCTTTAGGATCAAAAGTAGTCCCCTGTAACTACACAACCTGTACTTCCTTGGCTCACCACTAGCTCCTTGTGACTTACTACCTTGGTTATGACTTACCACTATTAATTTGTGACTTACTACTACTTGTTGCTTGTGGCTTACTATAATTTCACGTTGCTGACTTACCAGTATACCACCAATTACCACGACCGTCTACTTGCTTGTAACTTAACACCAACTGCAACTTACTACTTTGTTCATTATTTACATTTGCTTTTTACCACTATGCTTTATCATATCTTTTTACTTATGTCACTATTTGTTGTTTATTAATTTACCACCAATTTCTCATGATTTAATACTACCTGTCTTATTAGTTACCATAACTTTCATGACGAGCCGAACTACCACACAGAATGAGTTAAATTTTAAACTTGTTTATCAAATAAGTACTTTCCTTAGTGACTTATAACCTAAGTCTTTTGTTAAGTCTTATTGGGAGTCTTATTGTTTTGGTCGTGAGACAAAAATACTGTTACAGTTACAGGAACCCAAACCAGAACCGTAGGATTGGAAAGTAAGTATCTTAACCACCAAGCTATTTAACTTTACTCCAATGCATAAGAATATGCATATATTATACAAATGTTAATAGACGGAATGGAATTTTGGAAGATCAAACAATTACCGTCAAACTATCCACAAATTCGGAGTAATCAATTTTGCCCGAGTCATCGTGGTCGAAGAGCTTGAAAGCGCGTTCTACTGCCTCATCTCCGACTGTTGACGTGATGCCAATCTTCTCTAGGCCAGTCTTGAACTCTTTCTTTGAAAGTTCAAAATCTTTGTTGCGGTCCATCTGTCGGAAGGCACTTAAATACCAAAAAATATCATTGATTAGTGTGGCTTATAAATCGAAAGACAATTAACGCATATCACCATGTTTATCATGACGATATGTTTATCATGACGATATAAAGATAAACGTGATAACGATAGTGGTTAGTAATTCTTTTCTACCAGAGTAATGTGCCTCCTCTTCCCCATTTAAAACTTATTGTTTCCATAGGCACGGATTTCCCCCGCTCTTTTACGAACATAAAAAATGTCTTTAAATGTACTGGGTGTCTTCAATATTCCAAACCACTAATCTAATCTAACATAAATGGAGTCTGTCAAAGTAAGTAACTGTAGTAGGCCTAGGCAATACTAGCAATAATAAGGTCGTCATTGTGATGCCTATATCCAGGCCTACTAAGCGAATTTACCGTAATTATTTCTATAAAGTTGAAATTGCAACTAGTTTAAGTTGAATTAGTCTGTAATAAATAAATGATCTAAAATCATGTATGCTGCTCTCATTGTTTAGAGCATCAAATAAATGATCTGTTGTCGGCATATCTATCGGGGAGGCTAGTGGGAATCCTAATAAACGTGCGTCTACTATAATATCAAGTACGCTGGGGGCGACAATGGAATTGTTTCGAATACTTGAAATAATATAACCTTTAATTTCAGTCTTTTTTATTATTAGTCATTGAGTCTAATGACACCCTCATTAATTTGTACCTAACCCGTATTATTTTCATTTCTTTGAGGCGCATTAGAACATTGGTAGCGTCCGAGAGTCTTCTGTACAATACTATGTCGCTGGTACAACATTTCCATATACTATTTATATATAATAGGTCTAGGCACTATTTAAAATATCGATCAAATGTCTAGGATTTTAGTTGTCGTAATTTAATTGATCATTTTTGAAGCCTGTCTCTTATACACATCTAGATGTGTATAAGAGACAGCTCTAGGCCAGTCTTGAACTCTTTCTTTGAAAGTTCAAAATCTTTGTTGCGGTCCATCTGTCGGAAGGCACTTAAATACCAAAAAATATCATTGATTAGTGTGGCTTATAAATCGAAAGACAATTAACGCATATCACCATGTTTATCATGACGATATGTTTATCATGACGATATAAAGATAAACGTGATAACGATAGTGGTTAGTAATTCTTTTCTACCAGAGTAATGTGCCTCCTCTTCCCCATTTAAAACTTATTGTTTGCATAGGCACGTATTTCCCCCGCTGGGTGCCTTCAATATTCCAAACCACTAATCTAATCTAACATGGAGTCTGTAAAAGTAAGTAACTGAAGTAGGCCTAGGCAATACTAGCAATAATAAGGTCGTCATTGTGATGCCTATATCCAGGCCTACTAAGCGAATTTACCGTAATTATTTCTATAAAGTTGAAATTGCAACTAATTTAAGTTGAATTAGTCTGTAATTATGTTAACCGTTAAAGCGTGCTTCAAAGAAAAGCAAATTTAATCAAATTTAAAATTGATTCTAAATGTTAGAATATGTGGACAGAAAACGACATTTACAATGGAACATCAAATCAATCAATCAATCAATCAATCAATCAATCTATCAATTAATCAATCAATCAATCAATCAGTAAGACCATTACAATGATATTGATACTTATCAACATCACCATTATTATTATTCTAATTATTATTATCACATTATTATTATTATTATTATTATTATTAGTTATTATTATTATTGTTATTATTATTATTATTATTATTATTGTTGTTGTTGTTGCTGTAGTTGTTGTTTTTGTTGTTTTATAAGTAAGTAGCAGCAGCAGCAGTAGTAGTGGTGGTGGTGGTAGTAATAGTATTAGTAAGCCTAGTAGTTGTTGTACTCTTTAGTTTAACTTACTGCATTAGCCCTTTGCGTCCTCCAGCTTCAACAAGTTTTGATCGGATCAGCTGAATTGGATTTTGGTCGGCTGCCATCTTGCAATCTAATAACGAATTCATAATCGATACTTCAATTAGCTATATTGGTTATAGCCTAATTATGACTCAAGGCCAGTTATTAGCAAGAGATTTATTCTAATGCATATGTTAAGTGCTGACATCGAATTTCAACATGTAAACTGACTTTTTATTCAACGTTCATTTTCGTCATTAATTAAATAGATTTGTTTAGATTAAACACAGAGATTATTCGTAAGCTTCGTAAAATGTTCATTTTTAGAGAAATCTTTCGAAATAAGTTTGGTCTACAAAAGGTAGTCATGCTGTTTTCTTTGTTTGCAGCATCGTCTAGGCCACATAGTTCGCTTCTGAACATGACGTCGATGAGCCGTAACGTTTTACTTTACACCACCTTTGGGACACCACTAAATGGGGACATCCTTATTAAGGAGACATTTTTTCGACGACAAAGGACACTTTTTTTGGGCCCGAAGGTGTCTCCTGCTGAAGCGGACTACTGTATCTCTGAGCGTGCGTTGATAAACCGTAACGTTCTTTACGCACAAAATAGAACATTTACTTTATTCACTTTATAGGCCTACCATAAATAATCACTATATGCTGTAGGCGTGTATATACACGTAAGTTCAAGAAATAACCTGTCTTCGAGTGATTTATGTTGAATTCCGCAATATTTTGCCATACGATGTCGTTTCACACTTTTAAATTATTAAAGAAAAAAAACTCTTGTAGTCACCAATGACAACAACACAGAAATTTATATCGTGCCTTATGTCATGGACTGCTCAATGCCTGGAATACTATTAGACTAGATTGATCTGCTTAGAGTCAATAAATTGAAAGTGAATAGGCCTACATCCGGTAAAATGAATAGGGCATAATAGCTATTTCTTCAACGTCGAATCAACATAATTATATCAAGGACCTTAGCCGTCTAAAATTTGCGTGCTGTCTTCTAATCCAGTAATTGTATAACAAAATTATCAGACATATTCAGTCATATTTTAAAGTAAGCTTGGATTTTTTTTAAAGTATATTTCTAAAACAGCTGGCGGGTAACTATGACAACTTTGACCAGTATGCTAAAGAATGTTTATAAAAAGGCATCGAATTTTATTTTGTATTTTATTCATTTCGGCAAGAAACAACAATACAATCTGATCAAATATATAAAAGCCGAGAAGAAAAAGCATAAACGCTGTCACCAGTAAAGTGTGCTTCTCCTGACTTTTTGAAGCAATGTTAAGCTGTTAGTCACATATGCACGTTTAAAAGAAGCTCACTAGGTGATGTGTTCTCGTGTTTCTGTGGACAATTCCAACAGACTGACTTGTCCATCAAAATACATTCAGAATTAATCACGCTAAAGTATGCTACCTATTTTCGCAAAGTGTCCATAAGCTCTTTACAAATAGGCCTATTCTACATAGTACAAAATTAAATTTAATGGTTAGTTTCAGGTTTGGGATTTGAAATTATTTTTTGGTGAAGGGATACTATTCATGTATTATCCTATTATTGGTAAACAAGCTTTCAAATAATGCATATCGGGGGTTTACTTTTTAGTAAAAAAAGTACGGTAAAATTAATATTTTCCATGGAAAAATATTCATTATCAGCGTCTCATTACCATTACATTTCATTATAGGCATACACCTCCATATATAATATATAAATCCTAGAGGAAGCCAACATTATCTATTTAGTATTTTAATTAAGTATGACCAGATATATTGTTGATATATTGTTATCCTAGAGAAAACATCTCTGGTTAAGATATCTGTTCCATATAATTCTTTAGTCAAGCTTAGCAAACGCTGAATTCAGGAGAACAGCAAATAGCAGACATTATAAACAATATTATTGGTTCGAGAATTGAGTGAATCTTTTATCGATGTTAACCATGCCACAATTAAAGTCAACTCCTTGACATTGGATTAATAGAGATACTTGAGTCTCGATTTTCTTTGTCAGGCTAGAATCTCCAAGAAAGCGTTGGAAGTCATTATGCAAGAGGAGAGTATCCGAACGGTAATCGGAAGGTCTTTCTATTCGAAACCTGATGAGGACATACGTTTTTCCTAAATATTTATTATTATTTTTAATTACCCACCAGAGGAGGTGTATCTCAACTACAAAGTTACTATCATGTAATCTACTATTATTCATTGTGTATTACGCAATGTACCTGTCCTAATGGGAAAATCCAAGGGTAATATCACTTGGCATGAGCTCAGATGGTAGATGGTACTAACTGTAATAGGAAGGTCTTGATTTTCTCGATTAATATATTCTTTATCAAACATATAAGGTTTATACTACACCACACATGAAATATCAGTACAGCACTTAGATTAATTATGACTTATTATGAAACTATACACATACAACTAGCCTGAAATAAATCATATTTCAGGCAGTTGTAATATACATACGATCAAATATATTACAGTACAGCAGGACCATGGAGTCAACCATGACTATAAGCAAATCAGGATAAACTATACGTTTTATGTTCCCTACATGGACAGTGGTAGAAGAGGGTACAAAATGATGAAGACTACGCCAAGGCTAGAATAGAAAACATAATGCTATACTTCCTGGCCTCCTTGCAAACATAGTACAATGCATTATCAGCAAACATAAGTCAATGAGCTGTGAGCATTCATATTATAAACAACACTACGGGTTGGAGAGAATTAGAAATTTCTTTTGTATTGGCCTATCATTAAAACCCCGTTTGAATGAGAAAAACTAGCCAAACGTACTACTACTGGTTCCCATGAAATCGGTACACGCTATCGCCGAAAAATTAATGTTGGCGAAGCTGATTGTATATTGCTTGGTTTCCATACAAAATCGCTACACGCTATCGTCCACAGCTTTCGGTGATGATGATTGGTCGGTGGAATGGGGGAGCCTGTAGCGACAGTGTAGCGATTTAAAAAAAAAAAAAACAGGCTTTAATCGAATAGGGAGCCTTCCCCGATTGCGTCGGGGACAGGCGCAGCAACGCGGTGAACGATTGCAGTGAAAACATTGAGCGACAGTGTAGTGATGTTATGAAAGCAATGCTTAACCTTCCTATGTTGTGTTGATGTTAACTGTCGTACGACGGGTTTTCACTAGATCTATAGTTTCACTCGAAAATTAAAAAAAATTAGTGTTTTGCAATTATTAAATTTACTCTAAACTTTAAACTGTGTATGTTACTGAATTGAAATATCTGATATCACATAACCAGAAGGACTTCACTAGCAATAAGACATTTTCCTGGTTTATCTTTGGTGTGTTCATACCGACGAAATCCTACTATAGCCTACGTGTTCCGTACACATTATCGGAAGTGAACTTTCCTCAGCAGAGTACATAGTCTCGGTTAGTGATGAGTCAACACACAGATACTTCGCGGAAATTAGTATTTGTATTAGTATATGTTTTGTGAGCAGTTGAGACAGTTGTTTACGATTGTAGACAGGATAAATTCCTGAAAAATCCTCTTTAAAGCCAAGATGAATTTTAAACATTAAAAGTTGTAATATTCTACACTCAGGCAGCAGTCATATATTATATTAAATATTTTAATTTACATTTTAGTGTGTGGGCTGGTCTAGGCCTGTTTGATTGCTTATTAACACTCTTTTACAAAAGTGCCACACAGAATAGGTCTACGAAGTTAGGGGCAGATTCAGGAAGAAAGCAGCCGGTCCGGGTCCCCAAGTTTGTTACCACAAAAAAATTAAAAAAAGGAAAAGAAATTACATTGAAATATATAATATAATATATATATATATATAAATTATGACTTTTGACTGTAAGTCTTTATCAAGCTATATCAGGGGTCTCACCAGCTATACTTAAGCGTGGCGGGACCGCAACGATTGGACGAAAAAACAAAATGACCGCCAGGCTTAGGAAAAATAAGCAATGCACCACTCTTAAAATGTTAGCGCTACGCTCAAAATATATATTTACTATGTACAGTATTTTATTCAAAATGTTACAACAATAGATACCGAAATGTCGAACCCATGGGGAACAGAACTTGTTCAATCGCATATCATCGTGAGGTACCGCCTTCATATGCAAGCCCGACTAAGTGATGATTGCAATATTTAGTGAAGTGTTCGTTTTTAATGAACGGTGATTGATAAAACAACATTTATTAATTGAATTTGCGTGATTTTTTTTATGAAAAACGTTTTTTTTTCATACTGAATTTCGGCTCGGTTTTTTTTTTTAAATACCAACTATAAGCTATAATAGAGATTTAATTCCATTAAACTAAACTTACCTTACTAATAATTTGTATACACGTAACTTTCGAAGAATTTTTTTTTTCAGGAATTCGCTATATTAGAACAATTGTACTGTAACACCAGTCAATTGATAAGATAGAAACACAGTCTAAAAGTAGATTAGCAAATAGGGTAGCAGAAATGCTGATAAATAATTCGCATACAGCTCTGGCGATTTAATGATCACAGTGAGTGGTATTGTACAGTGGACGCTAACTCAAACATAAAGGTCTTTACTATCAATAAGAACAACTGGTTTAGAAAATCCACTTAAAATTTCTCGACACTGTGCATCTCCCTCTTTGGCAGGCTACTGTTGACTTGCAGTTCTTTCTCTATGTCAACGGTTTGAAAATGTTGTCTGGCCTGAAAGTACGCGTTTCATTTTGCACAAGTTTCATGGACCATTGCCGATGCGTTTGCGCTGGCCAATCAGATTTGAGAACAGTAATTAAAGCAGACGATTAATCGTATTACTAGCAAACACAACAGCTTAACGCACGCTGATAATAACTATTTTCTAATACTAGCATAATTTTATTTTACATCGAGTGAAAAAAGATCAGTGTAATTATTTACCATTATTTCATTAATTTCAGATGATGTAAATTACAAACAATTTTATAGTCTCATTACTAAAATAATTTAAACGCAAACTCATGGGACTGCTGAAATGATAATAAAAAAAAATTCATTGATGCGAGTGCACTGAATAAAAAAAATCGATTCGTGTGAACGAGAGGAAAACAGTTTGGTACTCATGATCTTTACAATCCATTATTTACTAAATCTCATAACTTGCCAACAGTAAGCCAGGTATAGTGTAGGCCAAAAGACTACCATTACCATGTGTAACTGTTCCTTGTTTTCCAATTAAGGACTGGAATTTATGCTGCGTCTGCCTGTTGTCTTGACAGTTGCTTTTTAAAGAGACGATTCTCTGATTATATTATGCCTACTCAAATAGCTTGCTTTGAGTTTCATATAATTACAGTAAGCCAATGTTGTGGAATTGGCAAGATGATATACGCAGATTCCGAGTTGTCTTTTGGGATTTCCTTTTGAAGAACAGATTATGTTTTCGCCCTCAATGGTTCTGTAACTAGTAATTATTGTCCCATAAAAACTTTTATAGAAAGGTGTATCGAAGTGAAAATGAAAATACGTGTAAATTGGCACAAGAACTTTACATTCACGAAAATATAGCCTATACACATTTGTCCTCATCAACGGTGTTGTGTGTAATGAACAAACATTTCCAAAGCTCTTTGATGTCATCTATTTGGTATATGACTTGATATTGCAATTAATTTTGGCCTATGTTAAACGAGCATGCGTAGAATGCATGTCGTATTAGACACAATCCAGTGACCTCTCTTTTTACACATTAGGCCTAACTTTGTTTTGAAAACAAAAACGTTTTTCTACTGTCAGTTGTATAATTTTAGTTTGTAAGTTTAGATTTTCATTTTATTTACATGTTTGGTTAAGGTAAGCTTAATAACAAAATTAATAGATTTTTTTTGTTTATTTCAACATTTCGGGAAAAACATACATACATTCATCGACAGTTGAAAAAAGGCAAACAATTTTAGAAAAAATGACAAAAAAACATATCTCTCTAACTTAAATTTTTCAACAATGAAGAAAAAAAACCCATAAAATTAATCGCTTTTTAATATTATTATAAGAAATACTCCAGTGCAGCATTCAAAATTGTATTTCATTTCTGACATAATAAGATATTTACTAAAAACTTGAGGTAGTTTTAGAAAAGAAAACATTCTCGTCATTGGTGATTACGCACACCAGAGTATTCAAAGATGTTAGAGAATGTTGCATTTAGGCTAACGACAATAAATCATTCTTAGTCTAAGATAGACTCAGATTCTAGTCTTTCTATTGAGCGAACAATCGCAATCAATCAACATAGTATCTTAAAATAGAGAGGAGTCATGCAAATTGAAGCTATATTGGCACGATTCAATTACACTCTTTGATTGTCAGCAGCCACGTGCGTATGGCATAGGCCTATAATATCAAGATCAGTCACATTTAGAGCTCAGTTTAACCACTGAGCATAGAATTCCGGGGCCCTTAGATTTGGACAGAAACTTTAAGTAGCATTGTCGCTTTATTGCAAATATTCTTATACACATCTAGATGTGTATAAGAGACAGGCTTAGAAGTATCCATAGGGGGAAACTAAAACAATGAATTGGTTAAAAACAATACCATAAGGCGAAAGTAGTGTCGCTAAGGGGAAACTAAAGCGACGTTAAGGGGAAATCATAGACAAAAGAATTTCCCCTTAAGAGCCGAATAAAGGTATAGCATATAAGTAGTCAACTCGGCCCCAATTTACTGTGTATTTACTAAATGATTTTAATTTGAATGCAAAGCTGAACTATGTCAAATAAAGTGTTTTAAATCGTTGCTTTGTTATTTCTTTTTTATTTACACCCACGTAACAATAATAAAAACTGCATTAACAAAAATAATATTAAAATAATATTAATAACAATTATAAAAAGGTATAATATAAATATATTTAAATATATATTAGATGTATATTATATATATAGGCTATTTGTATAAGAAATAATAAGAAACGAATACCATTATGTTAATGAAGAAAACAAATATTTCGACCTATTTGGGGCCGAGTTGACTACTTGGGGCCGAGTTTACATGGGGCCGAGTTGAATTGGGGCCGAGTTAACTTGGGGCCGGGTTGACATGGGGCCGAGTTGACTTGGGGCCGAGTTGACCGGGACCGAGTTGTCGGATATCAAATTGGCGGCAAAAGGCCTGGTACAAAGAGGCGGATATACAGTACCAAAAGGCGGACTGCTTTAGAACAGGTAACAACGGGACTAGGCCAAAAATAAAGCACTTTAAATTAATCTAGGAACTTACGATTGTATATAATTTAATAGAAATATCGGTCCACACCAATTCAATATATTGATCCAAGTCAATCAACAGAACGATACATCGATGCCTACAGTATCATCAGTCTAAGTGGAATTCAGCTGTACTGGTTCAAATTTCCCAATCGTATACCTATGTTCGAAGACCAATTCTTAATCGTGCCACGATTTCTTGGTCGTACAATCGACTAATCAAATTCTTGGTCGTACAATCGGCTAAAGTCTTTATTGTGTAAAATGTTTGTTTTCCTTGTAATGTCTACGCGCCGGCAGGTATGCTTACATTAGTTGGTAATGATTCATGGCTCTCGTATAGATTCGTCATTTAAATAGATCATATACTAGATGATATATGTTAAGCGCAGTCAAATCCAAGTTGTCAACTCCAAACGCCATCAGACATTTCACAGCTTTCGATCGTTGTGCTTATTATGTCTATGAAGACTGACTTTATATTAATGTTATATATTAATATTCTTAACATATTATTTCTTTTCTTTTTATTTATTTACCAAACCTTGGCTGATTTTATAATATACCATATCTTGTAATATTCTTGTCTGTGCAAGATTATTTCCCATAGCTTCTGGACCCCACTAAAAATAAGTCTGGTGTACAAACACTACACTATGTCATCACGGCATTCAATTAATTATTTCCCACTTTGTATTTTATATGTATTTTTCATTAGTTTAACATGTGAATGCAAACCAAATTTAAAATTTGCCGTCAAGAATCAGGGTGCCATTCAGATGTGTCGGGGACAACTACACATGTTTAGCGAGTGTGACGGAAACGCTGTAACGATAATGTTCCAAATTAAAAAAAATAAGTCATTAAACAAAATTTGTAAGTAGGGGCCTATACAAAGTTAGAGTAACATTGTATAACGCCAACACGACATAAACAGAAAACAAAATAACCTATATTAAAACACTAATCCAGAACTCATGATCATGAAGATCATATACAAGTTAACTACAAAGAATAGCAAATTAAGCAGGAAAACTCATGATAAAGGAAAACAAACGAAATATGCCTGGAAAGAATAGTGGATAAAATTAAATGTATAACGAACAATATTACATCGTTTAAACAATTTCTATCAATGGTACATTCTGGTAGACGAAAAATCCATCACCTGCAAAACTAAGCGTTATCATAATTTCTTTGTACCACGCCATAAATCCTCTAATTCTTTCGGATGAGAGATTTAAGCCGTTGGTGCCGTGTGCATTGAGGCTCAAGATGTGTATAAGAGAGAAGCCTCAAAGAGTCCTAAAAAAGCAGCCCAGGGGTTCTATTGGAGGTTTTACGGTACTCTTCAGCCAGTTAACTCTTTGAAATTGTTAAATAGGCCTAAAGTATACTTACAAACTCACTTTAATATACCGTTTAAATGTGATTTTGTTTTTAAAAGTTGCTTGTATGTTTTTTCTGCAATGTATTTTTGCACCTACTTTAATTTTCATTTGGCCAAAATAAATAAATCTGAATCTGAATTGTTTCAAAATAATAGTATTACGTCTCTACATTTTGTACACTAGATTTCACAATCCTAATTGATTAATTTGCTTATCATAATTTACTTCTTGATTAATTGGTTTATTGATTGGTTTATTGCGTGCTTGATTGATTGGTTAATTTATTATTCGTTCATTTGTTTAATGATTCATTCATTTATTTTTTGATTGGTAAATCTAAAAAAAAAAATATTTCTAAAGCTCTTCTTGAAAACACAAACGTAGCATTGTCGGATTTACGGACTCGAAAACAGACTGGAATTAGTTCTCGTAAGGCATGACTGATTTTGATTTATTTACATGACTTGAAATTAATTAAAGTGTCATCACTGCACGTTTTACTCAATTTTAAAGAATAATTGCATTTTGCAAATAAAAGTTCTAGATGACTTACGACAGGATTACTATGTGTTGACAAAAACACAATGCGATAATGTTGAGAGTATTTGGTACCCACACATTGAAAATACATTGACATATTACAAAAGATTACCAATATATCCCTAAACGCAGTATCTATAAAACTTTCAATCAAATATTTAAATCAAAAACGTTTAAAATCATTTTCAATCAATATTTCATTATCTCACTGACCAGAGTGATTAAATGATGATGATGATGATGATGATGAAGAAGAAGATGATGATGATGATGACGTTGATGATGATGATGATGATGAAGATGATGATGATGAAGATGATGATGATGAAGAAGATGATGATGATGACGATGACGATGACGACGACGATGACGATGATGATGATGACGATGACGAAGATGAGGATGATGAGGATGACGATGATGACGATGGTGATGGTGATGATGACGGTGATGATGATAATAATTATATTGGAGTTACAACGCGTCTTTTGTCAAGGGAAAGAAGGCGCTAGCGATTTTGTATTACC